TGCTGTGATAAAGTTTAATAGTTTGGGGTCTGTTCGTAGGGCCTTCAGCTCTCTCAGAGAGGAGAAGAAGATCAACAAGAGGGGCTTGTTTGTTGTGTCTTTAGGATGGCAGTCAATGCAGAGCATCGGCAAGTTTAAACCATGGGAGAAAAACAAAGGGGAAGGCGCATATTTTGTGGGAGATGCTCTGGAAGTCTGCCAGGTTTTAGCCCAGAAGCCTCCTCCTTCACCGCTCAAGTTTTCTGAAGAAAATCCAGAAGCTAATCTTCCTCAAGCATGCCAGGATAACTCCAGCTGCAGTGGGAAGTCATTGCATGGATTTACTAAAAGGTACAGCTGGACAAACGGCTGCTCCGGAGACCGTAATACACAGATTTCTCTGTGCCCCTGGGTACTGAAGCGCAAAGCTGCAGTAAAGCCAGAGACATCTGAGCACCTGAAGCCAACTGCCTTAAAACTAATAGTCCTACGTCAGCCCTTTGGCCCCGATGGTACCAAGGGCTTCCAAGCCAGAAGGCAACAATACGACTTGCTTGGAGAGAAGAGCTTCAGTGAAGATTTGAAGCAAGACTAAGCAAAGGGAAAATAGCCTGAAGCTGTGACAAGAAGGCAAAAAAAAAAGGTTTACATTAAAAAATTAAGTTCTGATGATGAATGTTTAGTCTTTTCTGGATGTAGTTAGGAACCACTGACAGATGAGGGCAGCATATACTTGTGCTCAATAGATTATTTCCTGACACTTTGTTCAGTTTATCATGCTTTTAAACAGTCGAGATTGGTTGTAGTTAAATAGAGTGGAAAACATGCAATAAGGTTTGGGGGGAAAGGGCTAAAGCAAAATAATCCAAATTAAAAGGTTTCCTAAAGCCATGAAGAGGTTCTTTGGAAAGATTAGAGGGATCTTCACCCATTGGCCTGAGCTCTTCTGGTCACGGCAGCAAATTGCCCGGTACGGTTGTTCCTCAGCCAGCAGCCATTTACCTTACCAACTTTCTCAGACAAAATGAGGTTGTCTTTCCTCAGACAAAGCCCTCATTATCCCTCTGCATCTTTTGCAGAGAGGTCTGTTTAGACTCGAGGTCTTTGGAAAGTAGCTTTCCACTCGTTGAGATGACAGTTTGGCAGGAGGGCAACTTGTCCAATCTTCAAACCACACATTGTGCAAGCAGAGCTTAGCAGCAATGGTTTTTGCCTGATTTCCAGTTGTTTTAATGACACCTCCACTGGAATGGTTTGTTTATAGTGTTACTGATTGAGGGCTTCCTTAAAATCTTGCCCGAACCTAAACAGAATGTGTTTCTTCACTTGTCCACGCCCAGTGGAAAAGGTTCAATCTGCTGCATTTGGATCCCAATCATATAAGGATTGAAAGCATTCTTTGTTTTTTTTTTTCTTCATTCTTGTGTGTTCAAATGCCAATGTCTTTGTGACTAATGTAATCTCAACTGTTGAGAGAGACTTTTCAGTATATACAGACCCGGTGTTTGACTTGCGCTGTCTCTGACTTGATTTTGCAATTAACAGCTGTTGCACTTAAAAAAAACAGCAAAAAAAAAAAAACTGCCAAGGCCGGGCTACGAACACATACACATCTGTGAACAATATGTATAGAGAAGAAATGTTCCTGCTTGATGTCAGGAAATGTTTCTGTGCGGATGGATCCCTTTCAAGGCTACAAAAGCATGACCTCCCCTGCTAAGTGGAAGTCATGTGTTTACATGCTCTATTCTGGCCCCAAACCGATTTTCATGTCCAAGTTAGTACGAACAATCTTGTTTGCTTTGTGTTTTAATTGTGGGATTGAGGCGATTTGCACCTGCTGATTTGCAACCTTGTGAAAAATATCAAGTTCCTAATTTCCTCGCACACAGCTAGTTTCTGCTGTACTTTAAACAAAATAGATTGGTGGAAGCATTTTTTATTGCAGGAATTTCCTCCATAAATAATAACATCTCCAGGATCCACCTGAGTGATACACATTTTTACTACACACATACAACCGGTTTACATTTACAGTACAGTAAGCAAAATGTTTAAGTTGGAGAAAAATTACTTTCCTGAAGTCTGCATTTTATGTTGGAAAACTTGAAGATTTTCATCATACTCAAAATCTAAATTTTTTCTTGCTTGTTAAAACAAAATAATAGCAACTGTAAAAAGCTATAGATTTGTCAACATAAAAATACTAGAAGTAACTACAGAACAATTGGCATATTCAATTAGCATCCACACAGAGAAGAAAATATATTTTTAAAATAGATTTGGTAAAAAATGTGCAACCCCTAGAGCGCTGTAGAATGTTTCCCAATCCTTTTTAATAAGTTGTCTATGTATTGATTCATTTAAAAAGGACGCCACATATACATAGAGCAACCAGATCTATTGCTTAGGTGTTTCACTGTAGCACAGTGCTGGTTTTCTACACTGGTGGCACTGTGACAGGAACACATCAAACCATTCAATACAAATGCAGAGAGGTGGAGCTAGAACGTTATCTTTTAACAAAGCATCTGGCTTTAAAATCTTTCTACTCTTAGACCTAATTCCAAAAATCATTGTTTCTGCTTTCTCAAAACCCTAGATTTCTGTCATCATCACACCTTAATAGCAAAGTGCATTTTGCTTTTAGCTAAGCAAGCTTATTGTCCCTTAAAAATATATATATAATGTCCCATTTTCAGAAAAAATATTTGGTGTCTAATTTAATTCAGCTTTGACATAAATGTTTGCTAAATCAATTCACAAACACAATAAAAGGCAAAAATGAATTCATGTTGGTAGGGTGGAAGATAATACCTGGCCAAGAAATGTCCTTTATTTAATTTTCACAGAGTTGGTAATCCTAATCTAAACTCATCTCTGTGCGGACAGCGCCTCAATCAACTTAGATTTGATTCAATTTCAATCCATATTCCCACTTAAAGCAGCAGTTCAAGTATATTGAATTCAAAAGTTCTGTATTAATCCCAAAGGTAAATCAAATCTTTTTTTAAAGCTCATATCACAGACTTTTTCAAAGAGCTGCTTAGATGCTGTTAGCTGCATGTAGGAAGGATGCGCTGCAGCAATCTGTCTTGCAGCAGATCTGCAGAAGCCTTCGGGTTTAGAATCATCAGCTTCAGTTTATATTGAAAATAACCTAATAGTCTACTTTAATTTGTTAATAGGCATAACTTACAAAGTATTTTCCAATTACAATCAAGCTTCCCTTTTTTTTTTATCAACCCTGAGGTCTCATACAAGGGCACACATCGAAAAATCACAAGAAAGCCTGGGGATTAGGTGCCGTAGTACCTTTTCATAAAAGGTTTAATTAATATCAATTAAAATGCATGCTTGGTTCAAGGATTGTACAATTCAGCTTTACAAAGTTAACATTTTCATAGTGGGAGGATATAAACAGAAGTCCCCTGAAGTCTGAATTATATGAAATAAAAATCAGAGATTTCCCAACAACTTCAACCTCAACTCCTAATATTCCCCTGCTGGTTAACAGCAAATGGACAGCAGCAGTTATAAACTGGGGAGTTACAATTGTGCACAAAGTGTTTGCCACATTCCAGTTTTCCTCTTTATATCTGAAATACGCTTTAATTCGGATTGGTGTAATTCCTGACCTCCTTCTAGCTGTCTTTCTTTCTTTCTTTTTTTTTTTTTTTTTTTAGTTTTATGTGGAGTTCTTTAAATATTACCCACTACGCTCTGAGGCAGTTTCCCCCCCAATTAATCTATATTACCATTTTGTTCACTTATAATCCCTGCTACAGTGTATAATTTCACCTATAGTCCTAGTTTAATGTCCTGCCATAAACAGTATAATATCATGCTCAAGAATTATTAAGGAAAAGAGCCAAAATCCTCTCCTCTACACTATTTTCCTCAGGAGTTTTCGAAATAAAGATTTATGTGTTTGAACTTGTAGAAAGAGAGCCTCATCTCGTTGGCTGATAATTACCTTTGAAAGTTTGAAATTATTTTTTCTGTCACTACAGGCAACGAAAGCACCACCAGTTTTTAAGTCCCTCGTTTCAGTTAATTCAAACTTAAAAGCCGACAGGAAATTCCTCTGGTATTTCCATTTTGATCCCACTCAGTTCTAAAGCATCTATGAGTCGTAGAAAGTAAACACTGAGCCACAGTTTTGCCTGTAATCCGTGATTTGTGTTCAGTTGGGATGAGTGTGTCCATATGACTCATGTTGTTAGAATAAGACAATTGTTAAGAAATAATGTATTTCCTGTTGTGTTGCTGGCTAATACTTTAATTTAACCATCTCTGGCTCCAAATGTGGTTCTTGTGCAGATTTAAGTGAAAAGGTTTACGCTGCCCAAAAGCATCACCTGTGAAGTTTTTATTTGGCAACCTCTCAGATCTTGTGTATCAGTTATCTCATCTCTAAACAGGTTGGACTCTGTTTATACATTACCGACCCTGCGCACCTGACACATTTCCTCTGGGAACAGGGTATTTATTTAGATTGCAGTCTGGACGGCCTGATACCTTCCAAAAGCACGACCATCTGCTCCTCGTTTGCTGCTCCAGGGCTCACGGGCTGAAACACGGGTCTGGATTGGAGGGAAATGTGAGATCCTCAACAACATCAACCTTGGTTCTATCTCCAACTAACTGCAGATTGAATCTTGAAATACTCGCTTTGTAATAAAACTGCTTAGATGTTTTAATCTTGTCTTATAACCTTTTAAATCAGTTGTGAACTTTCTTAATTCCCCCCCAAATGACTGGAAAGCACTTGCTTCAACAGACCCTAACTGCCCAGTTGAGGCTATTACCAATTGCCTGCTTAAGGTGACAGACTCCATTGCAGCAGACGGTGAATGTAAGCTCCTGCTCAGGCCAAAGCATCCTTTAGTGCTCCTGGAGTTAGAGCCAGGAAGATTAACATATCAGGAGTAATCCGACTCGGCCCACAAGCACAACTATGGAGGAGGAGGAGCAACAGTTTGAGGGGGGGAGACGCAGGCAGAGGCATCAGAAAGAAGCTCTCTGCTCCACTTAGAGTAACCACGCTCTCCCTCCTCACCCAAACCCATCCTTTCGACCCGCAGAGTTCCCCTCCTGGGAGCAGAACAGAGGACCTGCTGCTGGAAAAAAGGGTAAGATGTGCATTGTCCTTCCATCAGTGAAGACACAGTGCTCTGACAGGAAGAGAGTTTTTCAACAGATGGGATAAAAGTTAAGACATCTGTGGGATCTGCTTATTGCATGCCACTGCACCTCAGCTCTGCTCTCTCCTTCTGTTTTAGGTTAAAGTTTTTGTTTTTTTACTGCAAAAGAGAAGAGCAAAAAGTTCTCTGCGAAGAGGCATGTTGACGGGCGTTTTCTGAAGCAAAGCCTAAAGTCCCTTCAAGCTCTTTTCCTTTTTGAATGGATCAATCTGAGTATCACAGAGGGCATGCTTTTGCAATTAAAGGAATGTTGATTTTGATCTTCACCACTTAAAAGATTTCAATGGAAATGCAAATACTTTTAAAGAATAAGACATCCTGGACTTGAATCAAGTCAAGACATCTCCCGTACTTGCAAGGCCAAGGAACTGTAGCAGAATTCATGGGAAAAAGCAGTTCTCCTGCCTCTTCTTCTCACCTGTGATGAAGATGGACTTACCCAGTCAGCACTTGCCCGAGGAGGTCAGCTGAAGCCAACGCCACGCAGCTAAGTCTGGATTAGCAGGCCGAACGGTAAGGACAGCGCATCTTCTTTTGTTAGTTTAAGCTGGCAGCTTATGTGGGAAGGCGTTAGGTGCTGCTGACAGAGATGCCTCTCTAAGTGCCTGAGTGGCAGAAAACACACGTTGGATTATCTGTATCAACAAGCGGCCCTCGCTGCAGCCGCATGACAGCGGCGTGCTGAAGCCCAGCTGGCACGAAATGCTTGCAAAGCAGCGACCACTGATTACAATGGGGGTATGCCACCGAGCTGGAGGATAAACAAACAAAAAACGAAATGGCAATTGAAATTGTTTTGCTCCAGTCAGGCAGGCAAGTTTTGTTTTTCAGAAATGAAGTTTCTTTTCTCTGTCACTCAACCAGTGTGGTTGTTTGCCTCATTTTCATGCATAGTCGCTCTCTGGTTCTTCCACAAAGGCATTCAGCTAAGTGTCCTCCACTAATTTTTGTTCCCAGCCTCTGCATTTCCTTTTATAACGCCAGAGCGTCATTGGTTTATTAAGCGGATGGAGATGATAAAATATGAAATGAGTTGTGAAAAACAGTAAGCCTGATCAGACCCTCTTGGATTATTTTTACTAGAGTGATGATCCACTTTGTGCTAAGCCTGTATCATACGTAGAGATTACGCTGTATCTATCTGTGTCCCAGGAGGCCAGATCAAGGTTAAGCTTAAAGTCAACTGAGGCATTCAACTTTCATAACCTGACAAATCTGATTGTGACTGGAGGAAGCTAAACGTGAGATCAACGGACTCAGCAGCAGCACAGATTTTTCCTTCCCTGGAGGTCTTGCCACAACGGGCTCTTTTCCAAAATACTCATTTCATTTATACTTTACTAATCCTAGAATTAAATAGAAGCTGTGTTGGGGCTCTATTTATCAAATCTCTTCAGAAAAGGGTAGTTATAGCTTTTGGAAGGGAAAATCAGACATGATATTGTGGCCGACTACAAAGAATTAAAAAGAGACCCAATCAGAGAAGATGTTGAGGAGAATAAACATCTGAGGTCGTTCTGTTCAGTACAATTTTAGTAGTTGATATGGGGATGTTACTATTGTTAAGGTAAATTTAGGTTTTACTCATACCATTCATATACTTTAAGGTTTATTTACAATGATATTCCTGATCCTAAAAGAGAGCACCACAACTGTTACTTTTTTTAAACAGATATTTTACCAAGAAGATGATTTTGTTCTGCAGCTACAGAAAGGGAAAAAATTATAACAATTATAATTTTTTCAAGCATCTGGATAGCATGCTTGAAAGAGGGGTAAAGAAATAGCTATATTACTCTGTAGCCAGAGAAAGGTCATTTTCCATAGCATTTTGGGGTTTTTTTGCTCTCTCATTAAAACAGGTGTAGATGAAGATTTGTTTTCTGATATCTTGTCTCCATGTTTGTTGTGATTCTGTGTAAGTTTTGATCTATTTGAAATATAGCGTATGATTTTCAGGTCAGTATGCAGCATTTGGACCCTTTTAGAAAAACTTGCCTATGTAACTGGAGTGAATCGGATCCATAGCGGATTTTTTTCTTTCATCTGAGCCAGGGTGCCACTTTACAGCAGAGTGAGCTCCCATTGAACACAAAGAGCAAACCAAAATAAAAAAACAGCTAAAAAAAAAACTTACCTGATCAGACATACGTTTGTTTCTCTGACATATGATTTAATCTAGAGAGGTGAATGTGGCCTTATCTTTAAGTAACTCGATGGTATATCAATCTGTTTATCAAAGTGGTTTGCTATCAAAATCTATAACAAAGAGGGAGGCTGTTTAATTTCCCATGTGGCCTTTAGTGGGAATTAACATGGAGGTTAGAGGTCTAGTGCCCCTAGTTGCCACAAGTTACACATTGTGACTTTAAATTTAAACGCGTCGGTAAATATTTTGGTGAATTTCAAATTTCTCTTTTTCCACTTTAAACAAAAGGAGGTTAAGATACAGCCTTCAAAAAATTTTTTCTTTTCTTTTCTAGTGTTCTTTAAATCTGTTTCAATTTTGTATTTAAAATAAAACAACTTTATCAATACTTGAAATTCCAAATTCTTTAGCAACTTATCTTTTTACTTATTTTTTATCAAGCATAGCACGGCTGGCATAAGCATTTTAAGTACACAGTACAAATAGAACATCAACCCTTATTTCAGATTTACAGAACGATAAACATTTCCAAATTAGTCTTGTTCCAGAAAGATCTATAACAGCACCAAAGGAAGACACTGAAAAATGTTTGCCATCTCTCTTAGCTGCAGGCATGTCTTTACAAGTCGTAGAGCATATAAATTCCTTTAAATTGGGTTTTACATTTCCATGCTTCCTTCTCATCTTAAACACAAAAAACACATGAAATTAAGAAAAAGTTTTCTTCCCCTAGAAATGGTGTCAACAGCAAAGGTTGTTTATTATGTAGTATGAGTATGGTACTTTACTCTATAACAATAGACAGGGTTTTTTTTTTCTATAGGCCTGTTGTGTATAGAAGGTTAAAGAAGACAAGATTAAACTTAGCATAAACTAATAGGTATAAATGTATTATTAAATAAATATACATACCATGAAATTATTAAATGCAAAATGAAATCATTAAAAGTACCATTAAACAGTTAAATGTGCTATAAATTTAATAAAGAATGAAATAGTTTTAAAATAATGCAAAATAATGAAATGTAATATTAAATAAATGATGTACTATTAAATAAACAAATGCACCATTTATTAATTTAATACATAATTAAACTGTTAAATGTACATTTAATTTATGAAATCTAAAATGTTATTATTGATTGTGCCATTGAAAAATCAAATATACCTTTTTAATTATGACATTAAAGATTTTTAAATGAATTTCTTTAAATATATATTTCCTTGTCAAACTCTGTATTTACTTATTTCATGATGCATCTGCAGCAGATGCATCATGAGATAATTTAAACCGTCAGCTTCAGCCATTAAACTCAGTGGGTGGGACAAATGCCACTTCAATAGAACCCTGACAAACGATTGGCTAGGTTTCACTTAGAGAGACAAGACAACTTCTTCCTGTTTTTGTTTTGTTCTGAAGTCAAAATTTCAACTTAAAAAAACAAGTATATAACTTCATAAATGTGTCAAATGTGTCCAAGTTACAGCAGCATGCCCGTGTCTAGCATGTCAACATCTCCATGCAGTATTAGCCTTCTGCACACTTTAACTGTTCCAGCATTTTGTCTTACAAAGTATAGCAGCTTTTAAGAGTTTAAGAAGTCACAATGTTTTCCATAAATAGTGTTAAAACTTGCTGTGAAGTATGACAAATTTTGAAAATAACTAAGAATAAAGTAAAGTAAAGATGGCTAATTGTAAAGGTGTTTTAGTTTCTTGCCTTTGTTTTTGCTAACATTTGAAAGTGCAGTTCAGCGAGTAGCAGATGGTCACCAAACCTTGCGCGGCAGAAACATCAACCTGTTTAACAAGGGTTTAGAGTCAGTTCTGTTGTGCTAAAAGAGGATCTGGCATGGACAGATTAAGGTCCAGAATAGCAGCTCAGGGACTCTTCTTTAGAAAGTAGCCCACATAACATTGATCTCAGTAACAAAAATAGTAATAAGGAAAGCTACTTTCAATTACAACTGTCATGCAACTCGTTCTGTACCTGATGACTTTGCCAGTTATTTTCAATATAAGATATATACCTAATAGTTGAGTGTTATATAGTAAATGTACATAATGTCACATGCAATAGAATCAGTGGTGCTGTTGTTTGCGAGACTGTTTGTCAACATATAAGAAAGAATTCTTCCACAGGAAGGGACACATTTAAGCTTTCTTAGCCACTAAGTAGAAAAAACTATACAAGAATGTGTGAAATGCATGTTAAAATGTTTAAAAAGATGTTTTCTAAATAATGAACAGCAGCTCTCGCTCTAACAAGCACCAGGCTTTGTTTTAATAATCCCTTGGTTACTGTGTGACAGAGTTCCAGCCAACTCATGTGGCTTGCCAATAAAACTGCCACACATTTTAACATAACTTTTTAGCTGGATTAGAAGAAATGGATTCTCTTAGAACATCCAGTCCTGGTTCAGGTCACCCAAGTTATGCTGCACCCCTTTTTTTAGTGCCAACCCGACAGATCAGAGTCGCAAAACCCAATGCTTTTCTCTCCCCTCATTACTCCGACATTTGGGACAGGTTTATTGAGGAAGAGGCGCCTGTCTTCTCTCAGAGCATGCTAGCCTAACCCTTGAGTTTGAGGTGTCAGATGGATTAACACTGACACACACACACACAGCCACCAACACTGCAGCCAGGTGTTTGTCCACGTGACTGTAGATAAACCCGGCAGGCATTAGTGCTAATCCCGCCCTGATCTTTGGAATATGTCCCTATTACCATCTCCAAGCACTGATCTCGAGCCTCCTGATGCTCACTTTAGAGGAGAAAAGACAAGACTAGACCTTTCTTGGACTCCATAAGCACGTTGTTTCTCTGCAACAGCACAGTAGGTGTCTTTGCCACTGTTTGCTATGCCGCTGTTATCTTTCCAGTGCAGGTATTGATGATATGTGCACAGTGTAGTGTTGAACCATCTGGTCACATAGGTGGAGCAGAGCATTCATGTTCTTTTAGTAAAAGCCTCTGGTTGTTTAGTGGCATCAATATACATATACACAGGAGGTTTGGCCCGAGGGGGATTGTGGATATCAAAAGGCAGAGGTTTTATGTAACCTACAGATAATCTAGTGTTGGATGATGTTGCTGTGGGAACATGAAAGCAAAAAAGGGAACTCTGACAAACACTGCAGGGTTGGAAAGTTTATCTATGCACGCCTGCGTCAGATGATCTGCGGAAGGAGAAACCATGCAATGGCAGTGCGTGTGTGTTTATGGTATGTGTGAGTCACAGGGAGACAGAGCAGGCAGTATTTAGGGAGCCTATAGAAAAAAAAATGCTACAGAAGTGAGACACAAAAAGCTGGTATGTGCACAAAGAAGCTCCTCATTCAGTCTGTCTGTGATCTCTGCA